ATTTCTGCATCAGGGATCGCTTCACTCAACCAGGTCTCGGTTATCATAACGAAGTCTCTTGACATTGAGGCCTGACGCAGCCGAAGCTCCGTCAGTTTGCTTAAAAGACCTTATGAGTTGGTATAAAAACATGAGTGATTCATATGTTAGAAGGTTGTTAGTGGATGTAGACAACAGGTTTGAAACTTGGCCGACACTCGCGAGGTCGGCTGCTACTATTTTTGAATAGTTTTCGGCTCGCAAGAATGACTTGGAATAACTCTCTGCACCATGCAATCGGGTTCAAGATGATCCTGATGGTCACTCACCTCCTGCGGTGTCTCGCCGGATACTATGATGGCTGTCAGGTCATTCTCTGTGATTGATGAAATTAACTGGTGTTCCCACTTACTTGGTTCTCTCCATTGAGTAACCAGTAGCCTCTAGTCGTATCCCTGCTGCCTTTAGTCGAATTTCTGTTGGCAGCATGTTCCGAAAGTTACCCCAGTTCTCTAGAACTGTCTGTAAAGTTAGCTCAGGCGATAAGACCAACTTCAACAACCAAGGACCACACCCTTTGTAATTTGTTGACACGGGAATCCTTATCAGAGAGGTAGCAACGACATTTTCTAAAGACAACGCCTCACGAATGTATCGCCATTGCTCTAGGTCATGTGCCTGAGCTTCTTCAGGAGATGAAGCTTGAGACTCAGGAACGCCATGAATAATGTCGGTTTCCAGCTTGTGTTTTCTACTTCCCTGTTGATTGTTCATATCCTTTGAACGTTCTTTCCACGGAATATCCGGTATGATACGTACTCCGTTTGATGCTCTGTGGTGTCCATTCACAGCGAGCAGAATGGATTCCGTTTCGTCCGCGGAATGCAGTGTTACTCGAAGTTGTCGAGGCTCACCATAGTGTAAAGAGTTTGGTTGTCCTGCGATGCGTCTCAGCGTAGTGGCTTCAGCGCGCATGCTGATGGCACTACAGATGGAATCCCACTGATTGCGATCCTATAGCAGTTTACCCCTTATTGTGTTGGATTTGGATCCAGGAACGTTAATGCACACAAGACTTAAGGTACCATGATTTCGCCTCGTGGTTCGCGGGTTAAGAGCACTAGATTCTTTTGTTTTTGTGGATTTGTGGACCGCACTGGCGATAGCGATCCATGTTGAGACACGGTTTTGCCCTCTCCGGTAAGTGGAGTCACAGGTGTTTTTGACGGGGTTTTCATAGAAGCAACCGATGCGTAGGATATCCAGTTATTCTTTACCGTGGGTTTGGTGGAGTTTTGTGTTTCGAGTGTGTCGACTGAATTACTAGTTATTACACCCTTGGAGAACGTAGAAGCGGGTGGGTTGTAAACGACTTGTTCACTTAGTGGAGTCATGTGGCTAGGGGCCGTTGGAGACTGAGACGCTGTGGTGAGGTTGGGACGCCTGGCCCTCTTCTTCGGCCTAAACGGGGAGTTTGTATGTGTTCGTTCAGATGCAAGTGTAGCATTGTTTACTTTCACAGATGCATTGCTAGCGTTCACCAGTTGCTCAACTGTTTCCGCCAACTTTTCACACTTTTTCATTAGGAAGATTACACAAACAGCAACTAACTCAGCGATATAAAACATTTACCAGTCAGAGAAAGGAGGCTTCACAAAACGATTGGAAGGTAGCAGTAAATGCACTTTGAGAGTCACGAAATTAGAACACAAAATGATAAAATTATAGGATTCGGTAATGCCGCGGTTGCTCGGCCTACCTAACGTATACAAAAGGGGAGTACGTTTGAGCACCATCGTTTCACTAACTAGAGCACACAATTACAGACTTGCAAAGTAGATCTGTAAACGGTTTAAACATTAAATTGCTGACAGGGTGGGCCGATGAATAGACGGTAGAAATGTCATCGCTTGGCTTTATTTTGTGTTCAAATTGCAACCATAACAAACGTACTAATAATAACGACAATAAGCCATAATAACTATAACCACAATAGCCATCATAAAGATAATAACGCTTTTTCTGTGATGACTATGCGACAAGGCCCCATAAGCAGTAACTGGTAAGGTCATCTCGGTGGCACTGCTGGGTGGTGACCAATCATTTGCCAACTAGCTAGACGAAACTTTCAACTTTGAAACGAAGCACCGACGACGGCCTGATGGATGGTGATTGACCGGATGGTTAACTCCCCGAAATGACAGTATCTAATCCGGTAAGTCAGGCCCTGACAATCAGCAAACTGTACAGTAGTGCTCAACAAAATTTTTTTAAACAAGTACCACTTCATGAGGACCAGTATATAGAAGTACCACTGCTAATAAACCGTTACTTGCCGTCGTATTCATTTGAAAAGTGACTATAATCGCTATAATGGCGATAAGTATGACCTTGGCGTCAGACCGTTAGATAATACTATACTAAAGAATAGCCAAAATCAGAGTGAGATGTTAATGATTAGTAGGGGCGTTTATTGGGTTTTTTGAAGGATTCGTTGCAGCCAGACTCAGGCAGACAGGTACCACACATCCAGAAAAGCGCTAGACAGCCCTTTCGTCCTATTGGGACTCATGAGTAGTGCGCATCCACCAAATTCTGCCGTGTTCGAACCCACCACCTTACTCTTCCAAACCAGTGACTTGTCACTGTGACTCATGGGTGACGGCAGAGGACCGCCACTGCGGTGCACTACTAATGAGTAGTATAGTGAAACGAGCAGGCGCGATGAACTCAGCAAATAATGGATCACCGCAGATAACGAGCGCGTCCAGCCATGGAAGCGGATGACGCTGGAGTTTTGTGCCTATACCACATCGTCACGGCAAACCAAGTCGATAGCACATAGCAGAGTGTAGAATCAAATGGCACCACGAATGATGTGCCCAAAAAAGTCCGACTGTTCTATGTTGGAAATGTTATACCAGGTATACGTTCGTTCTCCGGCATGTAGTTAGTCTATACTGCCCATCTTTCTTCGCGCAGTAAGTGGTATGTAACTGCGGTGTAACCCGGCGCATCCTCTGGTGTTGAACATGTAATCGACATGCGGAACGCATGGCTGGCACTCAGAGCAACGACTTCGTTGTACAGGCCTCTACCAATCGGGGTGGCGTGAAAGCTGCCAAGACAGCAAAAGGGAGATGACAATGAGAGGAGGCCACCCAATTGTGTAGGATGTTTGGGTGAGATAAGGGACAGAAGCCAATGTGGGGATAAGCGGAATTTGGGAAAAAGGAGATTGGGGAGGGCCATCGGGAACCAAGTTAAAGAGCTAAAAAAAGTACTTGACTGATAGAACCCGGTTTAGATTTTTCCACGCATTTACAGTAGTATTGGCATTTTAGTAATACAGATTTGTGAAATAAACCACACCAGTACCACTTTGCATGGCTTGAAGTAACATCAGTTTGAAAACCACCACTGTATAGGATGTCCACGATCGAGAACATATTCGGCCGCTTTACCAGGGGATCGATAATAGTTATCAAGAAATGCTTACAAGTTGTGCCCAGCCTCGCGCTTTCTATCTGTGTAATATTTCCAACTGTTACCCAATAATAAGAAAATAAGTAAGGCTTCTAAGTAACGTTCCGACTGTCGCTCTAACAACGAGCTGGTTTAGCAGGCAGGGCACTTTACGACGGGCACGTGGACAAGAGTACTCCCTAGGGCGTTTAAGGTGGAATAATATATTTTCACGCTCAACAGAACCTGTAACCACTCAGCCGGATCTAGGTGCACGCGGAACAGGTACCTGAAGCTATTGCGTGAGAAATGCTCGTGCGATCGTTCACTACGTTGCAGAAGACATGGTTGGTCCCGAAAGACATGACTTCCCTGATAGTATCTATGTACGACATAGCATTTAGAAACTGTCTAAGTGAATATTTTATATCTTCGTGGGTAGGGATTTTTGACCGAAATTGTTGAGGGATTATTAGCAGTAGTTTCTAAAGTAAATAGTCCTCCACTTGCCCGGAAACCCCTAGCTATTTACATCAAAAATCCCCCACTCAATAGCAAATCTATTTATGCTAGCACAAGTGCTTACCACTCGTCTGTCAGTTCATCATCATCATCATTATACATGTCAGCTAGAGGTGGAAGACAACTCAGCTACTGCGCCGCAATACATAAAGGAAAAGGAAAATAAATACAAGTTGCATGCCAGCTGAGCTACCAGCAACGGATAGGCATCGTTCCGGTAAGCTACCAGCCGGCTACTAGGCAAAAAGAAAAATTATTATGTTTTACACTATGAAATATCGTAGGTGGAGGGGGAGGCTAAAAGGGGTGGGGAGGGACAGAGAAACTCACAGTACTAACGCCACTGAGGTCGGCTCCTTGCCATGTCAGCAAGTGTATCTAGCCAAACGTGTTTACCGTCTTTTGGACCCAAACCAGAGAGCCGTGGCGCTCCAACCGAGGCCAGCGCCGCAGTCAGTTCACATCTAGGGCATTCTTTACGGTACGAGAATCCAATTACTCAGTTTAGTGGGTAATTTACATTGTATTAACAACCTTTTGTGTCCTCATGTAATACATTTCATTTGCTACAATTTTGAAGGTTTGCGGGTTACGGCCAAATATCCGCCTACCCTGGATACATAAAGCTTATACTTGATTTGATACATTGCATTCGAGGTGAATGTTGAGTGTTCGCTGTGCCGCAGGTGGCTCACGTGCGAATCTAGGCCCACGGGGCGGTAGTTCAGTGCGCAGAACGGCTGGTCTAAGATGCGCCACACATTCGTGCCCAGTGGAAATGTACACTGCACGCTTCCTTGTGCGGTCACACTAGGCCATGATAATCCACTCCGCTTCTGCACATTTCCTTAACGGCGCAGAATAACACCAGTAAGGCCGTTAGTAGTAGCAACAGCCGTGGTAATTGCGGCGATGGCATTATATCAGCCAGCCGTCACTTAAGGATGTAGTAAAGAGGAGATGTTAAAAGTGAACCAAGTGGGAGGGTAAAACTTTTCATTAACTGGAACCGGTGTAACTGGATTACAAGCAAGTCAGGCACATGTGACCAACAAAGCTGCCCCCGCTTGAATCCACTGATTTTGAGAGCCGACAGGACATGGCACCCGCAGATTGGTAATCAAGTACTGGCGTTCAGGATCCATGTACAAAGGCAATGAAATAGATCCCTCCATGTGGGTTAATTCGAGATCCTTCTGAAATGGAAGTTGTATGTTTTGAGCATAGACAGAGAAGAAGGACCGATAGCCTAATAGTTCTCAGTATCGAGTTTTGATACTTTGGGCAGTTACATTTTACTAATTCCAAACACAAACATGGCCTGCTTTACACTCATACACATCCTACCAGTTAGCTGCAGGAGAACAACTAGACTACACAATCTACCAATTCTTTAAAATCCTCATCGTTGACAAATTGGGATAGAAATGGAGAAACTTAAAAGTGCTGCGTAAAGAGTATATTTGAATTCTCGCGGCCTACCTTTTTCTTCCAAACTAAGAGAACTTCGGGTAGATGCGTGAAACTTGGTGATTCTGACAGACATGGGGCCAGCCGCCCAGAGTCAAAGCTGGCCCCTTCCAATTTCAGTTTCGCGACACGAATGGAGTAAGGTTCTTCCCTTTGCCATTGAACTCCGCTCTGCTGCTCGGGCCAAATGCTTACTAATTCCAGCTGATCAATGGGAACCCCAATGCCACGGGCCGTTTGCTGTCGGATGGCGTTTAAGAAAGTTGTGGGTCTGAACAGATCTGCCAGGTCGAGTGGCCCTGAGTTATGTTGCAGTAGCTGGTGGGATTCGGCCAGCTTCAACCAATTCTGAACAAATGCAACAAAAAGCATGTAGACGGGGTTGCAGTCAGCTGACATGTGAGACTGAACACACCAGGTACGTAGTTCGGTGAATGCTGTTAACCAATCCAATCGACCCCACACATGTCGTACTTTCATGAGGTATGGGGTTATTCCCCGGTAAAACCCACGAGCACAACCTGATGTCTACCCGAGGCTCAGCAAGCTCAATCTTGCCAGTAGACTATCAATTGTTATATTTTACACTCAGAGGTTGTGCATAGCAGATCATAGTGAGTGCGAGTTTGTATCACCGCTGGGAGAAGTCTAGGTCCGGACAACCGGTCTAACGGAGACACCAGAACTACTCATATGCGGTCTTGATACTATGCACAGCGCTGAACTCCACAGTTCATACTACATAGTCTAGTTTGCGTCCACTATGCAATGGTATGCAAACAAACCGTTTTCAATGCCTCAGCGCTTAAGCCCAGCAAGTCCCATTTGTGCACACAGGTCAAAAAATGAGGCCTGTATATAGAGTATGGTCAATGACGTGTGTCAGCGTTACGTGACACGTTTACGTTTCACCGTTTCACGACGAACATGGTGAAGCAAGCCGTGACATATAGATCGCTGGGTGGGTTTTATACTCAGTTGTGTACCTTGCCGTTCGGGATGGATAGTGCTTTCAAGCAAAACCCGTGTGATTCTGGAAGATTAAAATAGTGGCCCGCTTCAAGGTAAATCGCAGTTCATGCAGCTGAAAAGCGTTGAACGTCATAGCTGGACAGAGGAAAAAAAGTGGTTTGCAAATAGGTGATTGGTTAATTAAATCTAGCCTAAAATTCCTTTGTGTTACAAAAGAAGTGATAAGCACTGTTATGATAGTACTCACTTGTACAGCGTTGGCTTTGGATACAAGTTGGCGCAAAAAGTGTATCGGTTCCTCTGGCCCTTCCTGCCACCCGGCCAACCAAATACTAGGTGTTTCACTATGTAACAGTTTAGTGGCCAAATCGTATAGAGATGCAGTGATGAATTGGGTGCCACGACAGGCGCGAGAAAGGCCAGCCAAACCAGAGTGGACGATATTCACCAAACGCAGAGCATTAGATGACTCCAAACGCAGGAAGTCTAACACTGGATTCTTCTCAGTAGTCCCAGCATTCTCCATCGTGAGACATAAATGTTGCCGCGTACTCTCTATACCGCCACTCTTAGAACCTGCGGAACGTGTCTGAAAAGAGAATAAGGAGCGCGAACATCCGAAACGATAACATATTCGTTGCTCCAGACGACGGACACATAAATCCGAGTTGGATGGTGCTAAAGATGAGAGCATATGAGAAACTCAATGAATCGATTAACGGTCGCTGTGAGAAGGATGCAAGTACAAACAGCGGACAACCAGGTGAAGATTGAGAAAATAGAGAAAAAATATATGCTCTAACGCCCTGCAGCCTTCAATGAGGGTGAAGCCTATCCATCAGACCGTGGATGGACCGGTTAGATCCAGTGATCACCACAGACCACACCGAGAGGGAAACCGCAAATCAAAAACAGCACGGAAATGTAAAGCCAACACACTGCCTAAGGAAAAGTAGCCCAAGAAATTTTTAGTTAGTATAAAACAGAAAATTAGGTATCTGTTTTGAACTAACTCGGTCATTACGTACATTATCAGAAATCGCAAATATGCAGTCACTGAGAGATGACCCAAAGCCATTACCAAATGGCTGAGCAGCATAGTTGATACTGTCAGAAAACCGTAGTGAAACATACTTCATCCTACACCTTCTAACTGCATCTCTACTTGGAATGCATAAACTTGACCCTAAACTGTAAGTGGTCACTTAATGTGTGGTCCTTCTTCCCAAACATCCCGCTAAAAGAGATTGTTGACCATCGCTGTGTGTTTATCTTCCATGGAAATGTCGAAATACGTGCTACTTTTATGCACGCAAAACATCAAGCTCTGTTCTCGAGGAAAGGCATCCCGACAGATAGACGGTGGCAGACATGTACTCGGAATGAGTGAAGGGTAGGAAGATGGCAGCATAAGATCGGCGAGTTTACACAATCGATAGGTAGAGAATATGTTGTTAATTTTGGATACGGGTGAGAACCTCGCGAATGCAATGACGACAACTAAAATGTAGATACTAACCATGGTATGACGTGCCGTATTGAGTACAAAAATTGTCTTCGGAATCAAGAAAAACTAATCATACAGTGACTGAGTGGCGGGATCAAAAGGACAGCCTATTGAAACGTAAATGGGAAGATTATCATGTAGATTATAAGATTTTCTACCTGATGCAATAGACCGCCCTTGCACCGTGACATCCTTTGGTAGAGCACACATGATTCGTACTTCAGGCAGAGGGAGATTTGCTGTTCGGTGCACTAGAACCCAACGATTTTCCGTTGCAATGCATTAAAAGGCTTACGTGACATAGACAAGCGAGATCGAGTACTAACTGTCCAAGAGGAGCTGATCTCCAACGAGTTGTCGTTCAGATGTGATCGCTTCATGGAAGTCACCACGAAATGGACAAGCGACTCAGTGGAAGAGCGTATAATGCAGTAGAACTCTGGTTGATCCGGTGGACACTACCTTTGCTCACGTGTTCGACTAAGACACCAAAGACAAGGCGAACAAGAAGTCGCAACATTTTGTTCGTCGATTATGTGGCAGTGACATTAAGGCTAGCGGAGATACGCAGTCCAGTAAATGGAGGTGAAAGTAATCGCTATACTATCCAGTGACGTTATGCTACTAGAAACAGTGAAACCGACAGTACATCCGGCTCCGTAGTGCTAAAATTCGAGTCAGTTCTAGTAGAAAAAAGCTTTTAAACTCGTTTTATTCTGGAATGCGCCCAATCATTTTCGAGACAAAGAAAGTTTAACATCACTAGGGCCAGCATTGCTCGTACGGCCGAATCAGTTATGGCAATATCCCAAAGAAGACTTACTTGAATAAGTTGAAGCCCCTGGTTTAGCTTTTTCCACAAAACCAAAATTGGACCCAACTCATGACTCCACGCTGCTTTGTCGAACTTGTGTCCAGTCCCAACTGTGCGGCTTAGCATACGAAGTTGGCCGATCATGCGATTCATCGCATTGCGCTGGACACTGTGACTGACATTGGCGGGCAAATTAAAGTGTGTTGGCTGGTCGTACTCCGGTAGTCCCTCGATCATCATCAGATAGTCCTGTAAAAATAAAAATGCGTTGGAAGCTTCTGTTGATAAACTATAGCAAACAACAAGAGTGCATCGCAATAACTGAATTAAGGATGTCTTTAATTTCCTTAAACTCAGCATCTTCACAACTGCCCCAATCAGAGTTCCAGCTGTGATTTTTGATGACCGGTGAAGCGTTCAGAATTCTACTTGAGTTTACATCGTGCATGCTGTCACAAAGCCTGAAATTCCCACTTGAAAAGTTGCGCAAATCGAAACTAAATCTTCCGCACTCGGACCCTAAATTCAACATACGCAGTTCGGTTGATCAACTGCGACCCACCCGCCAAAGTGCGACAGATCCAGTTGCCTTGGTTCACGTTTCCATGATAATGGCCAATAAGGACAAGAAATTGCGAGAGCGATTGAAACCAATTCAAAAGATCTGGATAAAAAATATTATCCTTCTCGGAATGCAGAAGGCTCACTGGCTTCATCAATGCGCCATGTTCAATTCCGAGGCTTTCATCCATGACCACGACCTACACAAACTGGCCTCTGAGTTTCGATCAAGTTCTTCGTATTTCTTTGTCATTCCATCGGCTGGCCACCTCGCGATTTCACCGTCATGATTAGCGCTTCCAAACAACCTACACGAACGTGGCCGATTGGTTGACCAGCGAACGGTATGACAGCCAGTTTAGCTGGCCGGAACCTCACAAATATGGTCTATTGACGGGCTTTAATTAACGAGCTCCAGTGTTGTTCATTAAAACAACAGTACATTAATAAGTTTTACCAATACTTCGGTGCCATACAACCAAAAACTTCCTACTAACGAGTGGTAAAATATCAGAAGAGATATCCAAGCATACATTCTGAATGAACGCGCCCACACTTCGTCAATAATTAACGGCCACGAACCACTGGTCATCTAGTGTCCCTTCACTGTTAACTATCCCAAAGGCCTAGTCAAGTAATTCCATTGCTTGTATTGCAGCAAACACTCAAGTAAATTGCTGCAGTTTGACTTTACCCTCCTACGATAAACTAACTTAAGTGACTAACTTAATGAGGGAGCCTCGGTAAACCCAGGGGATATGCATCGTCTCTAGTCTCGGGCTCAGCCAAGTGAAACACGTATTTACTTGATCAAATATTTGCTACCGGACTGCGGGACAGTTTCGCTGTCGCTCGTTCGCATCGCTACCCTCCACATTTGAACTTATCGGTATAAGGCAACTAGAACTCGTCTTTTTTCCATATTGACGGATTTACAACTGCCCCACCAAGCTCCGGAAGCAGCACTTATCTAGAGGAAGTTTCTCTGGTACGAACAAATCGAACTTTGTCAAGACTGAAGTGCTTATTCAGTATATCATCCATAGAGAACAGAGGTGACTTGGGTGTAGTACATTTCAATTTGTCCATTGTATCAGCATTTTTATGTGCTCTAATCATGACTGTACTTTCGTGAGGTTTTGATCGACGTAAAGTAATTAAATGGTTCTACTTCGCGTTCTTCGCCCGGATAACTCAACGTAACATCGATATATTGTAGAAATAACTTGTAACTTGCTATGGGCAGCAGCAAAACGCACTAGTCTGAGCACACACCCCAAAACCGCGTGCGATATAACAGGAAAGAGGCGATCCATTCACTAATTACGTGGTTGTCTGTCACATTACTTCAGCCAACTCTCGACCTGGATCTTTCCATCCGAATGCGGTCCACTCACTACCGTATGCATCAGCAGCACCACAGTAAGTGTGTCCCTATATTCTTATAGTGAATAAGCGTGGAAGATAGGCACTTTATGTACCACACTGTGAAGCAGAGGGATGAGTTGCTATACCCGTAAGTCTAGCAACCTTATCCAAAGAGACCTGAACATGTATGCGGATAGAGCAATTCGATAGTGAAGTGCGAGTATGCACGGTGCGCGGTCCTTGACACTTTCGTAGACAAACAAAACACATCGCCTCAAAGTCAATCGGAACCACAATTGAGATTGCGTGATGCAGTCCAAGACACATGGCAGGTGCTCCAAAACCCGAAAATCAACTTCCAACCACTGTGTCAAGCGTTGTTCGTGGAACCCAGTGACCTAGTGATCAGGGCGATAGTCGCCTACCATACTGTGCCGAGTGCCAATCCAAGACCAAGCTATCTCTACCTGATGAGTCCAGACAAGAATGAAATGCCTCGTAGGGTGCATGGATGGGAGGGAACAACACCGAAATCCTCCACTTTGATGACGGTCCCAGTGGTCGGAATAGTAGAGGCTGAATTCCAAGTCAATCGAGGCTACAATTGAGATTGCGTGTCACAAGCAAAGACACACGGCGGGTGCTCCAAAACCCGAAAATCAACTTACTCTCAGTTCTGTCGTTCCTGGCAACTTCAGTGGCCCAAGGCGAAGGCTGCGCTGCATGTCTTCACCGAACATCTGTTTCAGGTATGATTTTAATACGGTGGAGTCAACCGAATTGTCCAAACGACCACCATAGATCGAATCTCCCAGGAGTCCTTGAATCCATGTCCATGCGTCCTTGACTGGTCCTTTGTTGCCTGTAGCCAGGAACAAACGATCAATGACATCGGCTGCAGCTCGGAGATCGGTGTAGGTGAATTCGTAGAATTTTGTCCACCCCTGCAGTGAATAGGTAGTGGAATGAAAGGGAGAGGCCCCTGCAGATACAAAGGGTCTCACACGTCGGTGAACACAACAATACTAACTAGCTTTGGTGAAGCCGCAGAGAATTTGCCTAAGTCAGTGATCAGGAGTTCAGCTTAAGTAGAATCGGACACATTTCCGTGTGAAAAGCATGAAAAGAAGACTAAGGTTGGTGCTTTCCAAATTGTTGGCTGGAACTAACTGCTTTAAATTTATGTTTCTGTGTGTCGTAATCCAATATGCAGAGTAAGATTGAAAATGCCCGGACTACGATTAAAGCACAAACCTCCTTGGAAATACTTCGACCAACTAAATTCACCAGCGTCCATAGTTGCTAAATATAGGTAAAAATAAAATGGGCATATTCAGTGCAGAGGTGCGCTCAGTGGATCTCCAGGGAGATTGGTTGAGAGAAATCTCGTTGGTCACTAAGTGGTGGCACCCGTGGAGTTTGCAGTGAGTGCCTGTCAGACTCTGTCCTAGTAGTAGGTATGTCGGCTGTAGCCAAGAGGCAGAAGACAGCGTGAGTACGACGGACAGTATACTCAACACCTGACGTGTTATAAGTTACAAGGAAGGTAGAAGGGTGGGTGTATGTATGCATGCGGACGTGTGTGTAAAGGGCCAATCGGAGTAAGACAAGCGCAGCCAACTACACCATTTCCCGGCAAAGTTGTCCTCTTGGGCAACAGAAATAATCTGAGGGGGCATTTAGCATGAGTCTACTCAATGAATTTGTTCCGTGCGTAGGAGCTGAAGCGTCCCACCCGCACCCCTATGACTTAGTGCGTCTGAAGTCCAATTGGCTGAAGGCGACAGGCTATACACGCACACCAGCACAAGTGACTGGCATACGCACGGAACAAAGTAATTGAGTAAGCTCATGTTGAATGCCCCCTCAGATTATTTCTGTTGCCCAAGAGGACAACTTGGCCGGGAAATGGTATAGTGACGGTTCTCGGTAGCGCAAATGGGCCAACAGTAAATATCCAATTAGCCAGCAATTCCAGCAAAGTTACTACAAGTGCTATGAGGTGTTGTTGTCATTATTACAATTGTTAAGACTTGCTGTATACTGGTTGGAACACCGGCTATAGACTAAAGCAGTTAAAGTGGGTTGCATAAGATTTAAAAGGTCATATTCACCTATAACGCAGGAGAACTGTTTGGTCGAGGATGGCGTGAAACTCATTGTGCTTAGTCTTACAAAGTTGAGGACACTGGCTAGACCTAATTTTGACATGGTTTCACTGTGAACCACTTAGCTGATAGTTATCAGATGACGGAAGTGAATACTGAAAGAGTGGCCTGCACTGTGTCACCTTAACGTTTTGCAAAAACCGACTGTCCGAAAGGGCTATTATCACTGAGTCGTAGACTTTTCATCCACCGCTTTTCAGACTATAGGTATGTAGCTGGTTTGCCTTACCGCGCAGGTGACGCGGTCAAACAGGAACCCAAAGGGGGTTGCCTTCGTCCAGTACTCTAAATTGTTTAATGAAAAGACTAACACACTTCACTTTAGATGAACTTGGCTGAAGTGCTTGAGGATATTTTTCTAAATGGTAGCCCCAAATTCATGAGCTCTCAGGAAAGCCATGTTTTAGCAGTGGACAATGATAAATGCCTGAATCAAGGACCTTTATGTGCGGACAGTTGAACCATGATGGAGTTGGTGTACAATGAACAATAATTTGTCATGGGTCAAAAAGCAGATGCTTGCCAACTCCCGTAAGGTGGCTGGGGGAAAAACAAAATATCAAAAGATATGCAAGACATCTGTTTAAGCTTCTACCGGGTGAAATGTGCTGCTAAATAACAACAGTGCAAAAATAAAAATTGAATGCAAACATACAGAACAACATGGAGCGCAGCGATCGTTGACTTACTGTGTGAGAAGAATAAAAATGAGGTCGCTCACTCATGTACGGCCTATTTAGGTCCATGCAACATCTAAATCAGGTATGAGGGCATGACTAATGTAATCGAAAGCAGCATAGCTTAGATAACAAATTGCTGGGAGCTGAGAGCGATGGCTTCCTAAGCGATACGCGCTAACCATGACCAATCAACTACCCGGATAATCCAGTAGAAGGTGAGCAGATAAGCCATTCCCTGTCCTAAATGAAGAACGACCATTATGTATGCACAGTGCCCGCAGTTGACATACTCTCTTTGTTCTTACATATCTGACCAATAATAATGAGGTACAGGATTGTGGATTTTAGCCATTGGCTATCCCTAAAAATGCTCAATTACTTGTGGCGTGTAAGTTCGTCTCTCTTGTACAATCGCGTGGAACCACGCCAATGTGGCCAGAGCAGTAGCCCGTGTGACGGAATTGCCTTTGGAGAAATATGAGCGTGTCCACGATTCATAAGTGCGGCGAAGATTCCGTTTCAAGCCAGGAGGCGCCTGTGTGATTGACAAAAACACAAAACACCAAATTCTCTGGTACAACAAAAAGCAACTAAAAGTTGTCACTGAAGTTTCGAAATTCAAAACATCTCTCCGGCGAAGTTGCTAAGGTGGTCCTTCCCACCAGATCGTGAAATGCATCAATGAACAGCATTCAATCATGGAAAAAATTAACTCATCGTCGGCCAAATGTTTGTGGTGGTTAGTGAACAGGAAAGACTGAACGGCGGCTACCCCAGCCAAGTATAGAATAAGGATATTAGGCTGATGGGATCAGACGATGATTGAAATTCCTTACAGATCACACACCTTTTTGTGCCGACCTACTGCCGAGTGTATTATGCGGAGTCACCCAAAGTACAAATGTAATAAATGAGCCGGTAGCTATCAGAGGTTAAAGCGATTGTGTCTGCAAGATGGAAGTACTTCGAGTTCCGTGGACAGAAAGTGCTGACGTGTTTGGTAAGTACACTGAGGGCACGTTTGTGCAATAGGCAGAAAAAGCTAGTTCTGCATTGTGATTACTACGCACAGTTTGGGTTGCACTGACACTGACGTGAGGGCGACTAATGTACAAACCTGCTATGAAATACGCCACCGCATGCGTTGTATTAACATCACCAAAAGTAGATGATGCATTTGGAGTAAGCTAACCTCGTATGCAACTTTTAGGCATGATTTCAATAGGGTGGATGGGAATCCCGGATGGGGTTCTGCAGTGAGCCACAGGCGGAAGTCTTGGTGCACGCGAGTTCGTCCAGTACCAGGTATTTCTGAGGATGAGTTAATGCGGTTGTCTCCCGATGTGAGCAACAACTGGTTGATCTCCTTCTCCAGCGTCGGTAACCAACCAATGACCAAGTGTAGGTTTTTCAAACACAGCCAGTCACCGACTTCAGCAGCTGCGTGTAACTCATCCAGAGCGAGATCTGCCTGCCCTTGGCCCATAGTCACTTGCCGATATCTGGACACGGTATTTGTCTTGCTTGCAAACCTCATTGCAGCAGCCTCGACCAGCTCTTGGGACGGATCTGCTCCCGGACTGATTAAGAGTAGGATTGGTTCGGTTGAACGCGTCTTGGACTCGTACACGCGGTATAGGTTAAGCGTCGGAGAACTCATTTGTGGTACATCTAAAGCGGCGACATAAAGGCGGAGCATTATGTAGTGTACGTTTCATGGGTAAGTGATATGAGTTTGGTATCAATGGCATTGATAAATCCGCTTAATCGGCACAGCATTAATGCTAGTTGATCTTACAGCGTATAAATACTCTAATTCAGGAGCTACGGAAATAGTCAGCATAAACTGGTGAAATTCGTCAATCATGGCTTAACATAGACTTAAAAAGTGCACCGTCATTGTGCTACCGTTTCAGTGCATTCTGCTATGGATCTTGAATTCAAGCTTACACTGACTCAACTAGTGAACAAGAAGCGACGAATTCCCAAACGCAAGCCGATAATCAGCTCTGGCATTAATAGTAGTCCGGGTAGTGCAACGACCACAAATGAGTGTTAGGTGATTTAGATGGTGTACAATGAATTCAAAACAAAAAGCAGTTTAGACGCGCATCACACATCTGACAGAGCAGCGGACGGCTTTAACGTGTGCAGTTCAGAGGAAAGCGAACCGCACTATGTCACAACTATTAACCTGCTCATGTCGGTTGGCCCCGTGCCTCGTGGAAACTCAGTCTTAGCTACTGATGCGTGCTGGTAAGGTTGACGGTGCTAGACCTGTGGGAATACACGTTACTTAGCATTCTAGAAAAATAGGTGAAGCGAAGACGCAGTGCTTTTCTGTACGTGTTACGGCCGTATGAATGAAACAAGTTGTAGCGAATTCAAAGATTTATTTCACCACATTATGGACTTGTAGTACTCGTATACTTTTTGTACATGAACTCAGTGCGTGGAATTTTTTCTATCTCAAAACCAGGCGTAATGCCCGTCTTGATCCTGTCATCTTACATTGCGCGCCATCAGTCGCAGTAAGGCGGATCCCTTCTCCCCGTCACTGCTTCATGATTGTGTAGCGATTGATTAACTAAATCAAGATATACACCTTCACGTCACTTTGTCTCACTGAACGAGCAATTGGTATTTCACTATGCACAAAAGAGTTGTAAGGTTACTTGCTGGTAGACAGCTAATGATCGGGATTTCGCTGTGTCGTGCACCGAGAAAAGGAGCTTTTGAAAACAGTTTAAATTGATTTTTCACAACTGTGAGGCTATCGTGGAATTTTACCTGATCTAACTGACTGTGGATTGTGGCGCAATTTAGCCGCGCACAAAATGAGTAAAGATAGGATGAGCAGGCCAGGCGATAATAGTTAGTAAGGACAGCGGGTAAAACCCAATATTTATTTGTTCCGCATGCAGTCCCAGCTCCCCTACTGACAGCGGTTCAGGTTGTAGTGAATCGCAGCCCCAACTGGGAATGCATGTGGTAATACATTCGTACAGCGGCTGTTCCAAAACAAGCTAACAATTAGTTCACTCGGAGCGAAACAGTAAAAAGCAGGCAGGACATCAGATCTGTTCTTCACACTAATGAGCAACAAATATTCTCGAATTATCATCTCTCAGCTGTGTGGAGCGCGGTGCAAATAAGACAATCCAAAATGTCTTTCAGTCGGTTCGTCGTCTGCATAATCAGCTGGATCCCGTGAAAGGCGCACAAGCACCCACACACGGCTAAGTCAACATTTGTTCCCGTATCCTGTGTTGGCTACCATCCCTGCTTGACGGCTAACGTGACCGATGGCTGGCGTAAAATGTAGTCAGAGGAAGATAGTACGTCAGAAACTCGTCGCTTCACTCTCAATAAGTGGTTCAGTGTGCAAATCTACAAGGACTCACGCTGATACGCGCGCCACTGTTCAAAAGCACGACTGGCGGACCCTTGTTTCATCCCTTCGTCTGGCCACCTTCTTGTATATAATACATTCGATTAATATGACCTCCTATTGAGGATGCAGTGTGGTATCCAGCTGCAAGCGGTATTCAAAGATAGATATTCTTGTTTTGCGACAATAAAAGAAATCTGTACGAAACCGATGCTTTTGAGTTGGGAACTCAAAGGAAGTGGCATAAATGCGATCACGCGAAAACAGCAGAAACACAAGAGGCGGAAAAGGCGTTCGTTGGTAGGACACATTGGAATGGACGGTGGCTGAATACATCGGACGTTTATGAATTCAGTTCCCGTTATATCGGTGTAGCGAAATGCGTTCATTCACCACTGCAGTTAGAAAAACAAAGAGGAGCACAGGAATGATTCGACACAACAGCGGGAATAAATTGGGCGCACTTGATTGAAGCATTCTGACTCGAAAGCTGCATGTAGTTGTGCAATTGTTGTATTGTACCGGAAAGCGTAAACCATCCGTCCAACAGACTGACGCAATCTTCCTCATAACTGCATACAAGGGAACGAGTGCGGATTGAGAGTAAACCCTCAAACCATTTCAACCAAAGACAGCGACCATGCCCATGTAGCGTCGTGCATATTTTGAGCCACACGTGAGTAACGCTACGTGTGGGACAGTCATCGAGATATCGGCGCATCACAGTGTAGGTAAATCCTATGCATGATTGGCTCCAAGTTCATCTGGGCCGTTCTCATTTCACAGGCAGGGACACAAATTGGTCCAACGCGGATGGAGCTAGGACGTATTGCATACTACACTCAAGCTACCATAGTAATCCCAAACGAAATACAACTGCTTTTCGTGCTATAAAAATCAAGCGCAACTGGGCTAAATGTACGCACTCGACGACCAGTACATCAGCTGCAAGCAACGATCCGTGTCGACGTAACACAGTAGCTCTTGTGCTCACAAAAGAGCGCCAAGGAAATTTGCATAAACCCTGTCATTGTTCGATTGATTTCATATTTAACGCAATCGCGTGCATACGTAATGCAGCAGCTTGCATCCTTAGCGCAAAAAATATAATCCGCTAGTCATGAAATTTGCATCCACGACACTCTGACTAGTCAACCGTTATCAACCAAAAGCATTCGGGCAATATGCCGGCATGGCTGTTTATCACGGATGCATCTGGGGCAAATAGCCATCGCGCTTTGGAATGGGGGTAGCAAAATTTGGTAACACTTAAGCTAGACCCACGCAACGTAGTAGACACACGCATGGTCAAACTGAAGTCATCGGCGGTTGATGTCATGCTACACGAACCTCAACCATCCACTCGTCTAAGTGTGCAACATCAGTGGACAATAAAGGCGGTGGAAGCAGGTGATTGTTCATGAACTGGTTCCCAACCCCAAAGCCTGGGATGTGAAGATAAGACGAAGTCAGCACAGATCCGGAGAACGCAGATGTAGCATTGGACATATCCGGAGCATGGGGTCACGTCCCCTACCTTGATCGAGGCTGTTGTGAATGCAGTCAAAACGGTCCCACACGGAGGATTTCAGCGAACAAGCGAGGTGTCCGTTTGAGTCTAGGGGACATGTGGACGTGGCTTCCTAGAATGAACAATGTTCCGAAAGGCTCTCTACATGTAGCAGACCCGTACCCCCATTTCGCTGCAATCTCATGCTATTTCCACTGGACTCTCTCGCACTTGCCTAGAGGCGCAGTGCAAGCTATCGTTTAATCTCATGGTAATTCTGTCCATAACGTGAGAATGGGAACGATATCTAGCACAACAGAATGTCTACCATGTGCTCAACTCAACTTGTTACTTTAGTCGATCAAATCTCATATTGGTGTCGGTTCCTAAGTTATAACTGTATGTGGGGCGGAAGCTAATCACATTCCAACTATTAGGCCTCATACGAACCGCTCAGGTTAAATCTGATCAAGATAGACCGCACAGCACCCGGATGGAATGACATATTCACCAACTTTACGGCTGGATAGAGCATCTGGTAGATGTTTGATTTCAGTCTTACAAATTCCTTTCAAATGTGATGTTAGTCCGTCAGCTGTTTTTCTCCCCCACTTCATTCTACAAGTACGCACACACCGAAACAACTGGTGCACATGCAGTGTTTCGTGGAAAAAGGATTAGATTACAATGAGCTCGCATGGTGGGGATTAGGAGGAAGAGTATACTCAACGGGTGGTGGTTTATCGCGAATATAAAGATCAAGCTTAACATATCCCACGAGATGACGCGCTACGGTTTTCCAACGGAAGGAATAACAACCATAAACAGAGGACAACAGAAACAGTGGACTTCCAGAGCAAACTTCTGTCCTTCTGGTGAATCGTTCACATATAGTTGTAAGCAACTTAAAATATCACCGCTTTTTATTTTCCGGAGAAATGGGTGTCGGTTGATACGGTATTAGTGTAACGTGACCAGGGTGTTGGGGACCTGATCTTTGAACACAGTTAATGTGTAGGGCTGAAATAACCTGTCCCGATAGTGAAATTCATATGTGGCAAACACGTATCGAGCAGAAATTCCGTCTACGCTTTAGTTCGCTGTATTGTAATGCCAATCTGAGACGGTGGTTTCTGAGTCTATTTCCTGGTTGCGTTTTAGCAGATGGTAGCACTTATGTAAGACATCAGGATTGCGCTGTTCTACTGCGAATGTCCCAGCCCACTAGGACTGCTGATTGCAATGTCACGTGCTCCTGCTCTGAACTGGAGGTGGTGGAGCTGACATGGGATCTCCATCTACCGTCTAAAATTCAAAGAACTCAATCATGTGTTCACCACGCAAACGCCGATAGCGTCCAGTGAAGACTCCCAAAATACTCAGTCGCTGTTTCTTTTCAGTCCCCCACGTTGGAAATTTCCAAGAACATGCTTGAATACCAGGTTGGTCAACGGTTAGAGGTCAGACAAACAGTATCCTGGTCCTAAAGACTTGGGGTTTGGAATGGGATAGCGTCCATTTCTGTAAAACTAAATCATTGCCACCACCCCGCTGCCTTACGGACAGGCTTTTGAGCCAAAGGCTTTGGATGAGGACCCTAATCGTCCTCTTGTCTAGGTCTGGGTGCCCTGGCAGTATCTCAGCCCACATACAACCATGACATCTTGTGCAAACATAAACTTCATCCTGCATCGGCCGTCGCGCAGATTATCAAGGGTCGCCTTAGCTGCTGCATACAGCAGGGCGGATAAGCGAAAAC